GCCGGGGGGTCTCAGCCAGGAGGGACGTGGGGGCCTGAGTCCTGGGGGGGGCAGGGTGCCAGTATGCACAGCCCCCTTCCCCAGAGGCGGCTGCAGGAGGGGAGCGGGCAGCCAGGTCTGCTCCGGCTTCGGAGCCAGGCTCCACCGGCGTCCAGCTGCTCCGGCCAAGCAGGGGAAACCGAGGCACTGAGGATGGAGCCAGGACTGGCAAGCAGGGATCTCTCTGCCCCACCCACACCCCCTACGGTGCCCAAGCTCCTACCATGCAGGCCCCCCAGCAGCCAGCCCGGACCCCTGGTCTCTGCCCGGGGCTGAGCTCATGTCAGTGGTAAGAGGAGCCGGACCCCCCACCCCCGGACCTCCCAGGCCTGTCCCGTGCCCCGGTGGGCACCTGCTGCCAGGGCTCTGTCGGCCAGGGGCCCAAGCTCCCCGTGGGGGCAAACACTGCCGCTCGGGGGCAGTCGGCATGGCCCAGTCCCCAGGTGGAGACAAGGCAGCTCGGCTGATTTGTGCCAGCTGCAGGCCTGGCGCCCTGCCTTCAGCCCCTCCTGGAAATAATCAACAGAAGCCAATTATCTCTGCGTCCCCAGGGCGGGGATGACCTCCTTCCCCCCCGCCGTCCCCCCACCGCAGGGCTGGAGCCGGGTCCCAGCTGGGAAGACAAAAGGCTGCCCAAGCTGCTGTCTCCAGGCTGTTTGCAAAGGTCAGGAGTGCCAGGGACCGGGGGAGAGGAGCTGGGGGGAGCCCGGCTCCCTGGGGTCAAGAGCCACCCGTCACCCGGGGTCTCTGCCACTCCACCCAGGTGGCAAAGACCACCATGTTGACATCTGTACCCCCACACCCCTGAAACGGCTGTGCTGTCGCAGCCACCGTCTTCCTCCCCAGCCCCCGGGAGACTTACCCGGCTGGGAGTGCGCTCTGCAGTGCAGCCCGCCGAGGGTCCCAGGTGGGAGAGCATGGGAGAGAAGAGAGAGGCGGCGTTAGCTGGGCCCTGCATCGCGTGTGGCCTCCGTGGGGCCCTAGCCAGGGACTTCAAACCTGTCCGTGCACACAGCCACCCCGCGCACCACCATGGCACCGCTGGGCGCAGAGGCCAGCCTCCGGACAGCATGCCTGGAGCCACTAGAAATGAGGTGGGGGCCAAGCAGCTTCGCACCTCCGACGGCACCGGAGAGCGGCAAGGCCGCCGCGACCTGCCTGTTTTCCACTGGCCCTAAACACAGCTCAGCGCATTTCACCATGCCTCCTTGTTACCCACGATGCCCTGGGT